TCATCAACCTAACAAAAGACACCATTCTGTCTCTCAGCACTTGGGACATTCCAAGCGTTTTAGGAGCTCTGTGCCCCAATGGGGATGAAAACCAAATACATGTTTATTACAAATCACCATATCATACCTCTTTAAAGACCCCATCTCCAAATATAATCACATTCTGAGATACTGGGTGCTGGGGCTTCAGCATATGAATTAAGTCCATAACAACCAAATGTCCTTGCTCTTTCCACTGCAGTACACTAGTTATGCTAACTCTACTAGACCATAAATTCTACGGGGCTGAGGACTGTGCCTATCTTATATTCTCTACCCATATCCATCTAGGCAATTGTAGGCATTCATTCTACAGATATTGTTACTCTAATGAACGAATCCTAACTTCCCTCCCTATTCATGCTGCCCAAACCCTCCTCCAGCTGCTCCACGGAGTCTTTGCCTTCACCAGCTCAGCCTGCCCACCCATGTAATAGAGCAAGTCAGCAGCTTCTTACCGGCCATCTAGAAAGAACCACCCACGTCTGGGAGGCATGTGGGCCTCAAGACTTCATGCCTGGGGCTTGTACGCCACCTCGTGGTGACTGACTGCAATGTCCCGAGTAGATCCATCATTAGGCAACAGGGAACGTGGAAAGGACCTCTCACTGCCCTGCCCTGACCCTGGGCTGACAGGAAGAGGTGACGTTGTGTGTTCCTTCTTGGAATTGCCAATGGACAGGAAATTCTCACCTTCCATTCATCTGTAACTGAGGTTGGAAGGCGGAGAGTGCTGCACAGTTCTGAAACCCAGATCCTTTATGGATAGGTGTTCCTACTGCATTCCCTTTATTCTAAGATATTGTGGGTTGTAAGAGGCACCATTGATTAAAAAGCATCATTTTTGTTGGGGGGATAGGGGAGCACTATATTAAATGTGGCTTTCAATTTTAAAACACATCTGAATTTCAGCAATGTTGTAACATGTGAATAAATAGTTCTTAGAATGTGGCTCTCATCTATAAAATCTCCCTGAAAGGAAGGGTGGTATCCACTACAGGCTTTGTGTTCATTTCAGCATCTATAATACTGTTCATGATCACAGCCAGCTCTGGAGGGCAAGTGTTTCAAAAATCACTACCTAGAGGAGTTCCCCTGCCAGCCACCTGCTAAAAAATGAAGAAAACTCCTGTATGGAAGGAAAGACCAAGATAGAAACTACAAAAATAACTTGACTTCCATCAGTGGAGTTGTACAGTGCTAAGAGATGGTTATTCATTTGTTAATGACCAGGGCTGTAGACTGAGGACTAGCTACCAACTCCCAGCCTGCAGTTTGCTGAGCCTGCAGCTGGCTAATCAGGTAACCTTAGATCTAGAAATGAATACCCCTCCCCATCCCACTCTCTGGGTGGGTACAGGCACAGGAATGTGTTGTTATTATAATAACAAAGTATCTCTTTGAAGTGGAGCTGCTGAGAAAAATGTCTTGACCTAAGTTCAGCGTGGAAGGCAAGACCCAGAGGGTGTGTATAAGTGATAAAAGATGACTGATAAACTTCTAGTCATGGAAAGAGAAATCTGGGTTTTTCCAAGAGGAAAGAGGAAAAGAAGAAGGAGGAGTCCACAGGTGGCGGAAGGCTGTGTGAGGTGTGATATACCCCTTCCCAGGACCCCCAAATCTAAAAGAAACACAGATACTTGTGTGGGTGGTTTTTTGGTAGAAATCTAAAAAGAGGCTGAATTATCCATGTCAAGGAAGCAGAAAGCCAATACAGGTAGGAGGCTGCCACGAGAATAGGAGCTTCAGGAATACACAGAGATCTCCCAGAAGGCTTAGAATTTCTACTGGACAAGATTTAGTGTGGAGATGGTTCAAGTTAATTTCATTCAGCTCTGAGAGTCAGACCATCTCTGGCTGACCTATGGACAATATATGTCAAAGCCTTTTGCAAACCTTCATTGTCCTTGACTCTATACCTTTAAGCCAAGCTGACCTGCCCATTGATCAAGCCCCCAACAGCACAAAGACAGCACAGAATAGCACCCCTGACATTATCTGGTAGGCATGGCTAGAACCCCCTCACTGCTTCCATTCTGATCCAGGAACTCCTGTCTGCTGACCTTCAGCTTGATGTCCTGGTTTCAAACGTGTCCCTGTCCCTTAGACTTGGTGTGGTATATTCGCCAGCTCTGACTCCTACCAACCCAAATCCAGCCCTCTGATTCGTTCTCTTAAATATCTAGTGTAGCTTAAACCAACTTACCTTGAGGGAAGCCTAACTCCCAAGACCCCCATGAAGAGGAGAAGGGAATTATGCCTGTATATGTTATTCCTGTAAGTCATACCAAAGATTCTCCGAGAGGGCTCTGGGACTACCTACCTCCTAAGCGCCTAGCTGGTGAGTGAGACTTATTAAAATGCAGATTCATGACCTTCTGAATTAGAGTCGCTGAGTGTGGAGCCCAAGTGTCTGAATCATTAATAAGCTCTCAAGGTAAGTCTTATGCATACTAAATTCTGAGAACCATCCTCAAACAAACGGAATGTACTTAAGTGGAGACACTCTCACAGTTAGGGACTGAATGCTCTTGGCCAGCTAGACACTCTAATCAAATAGATTCCATGCAGCCATTAGAAACAAGGAGGTAGATTATTCAGTGATATGAAAGGGTATTTACAATGTATAGTCACATTAAAATAATCAAGTGTTATCCCACTTTTGTGTGAAAAGGCAATGTTTACATATGCATAGAACACAAGTCAGGAAGAGCTTACACTGAAAAATTAACCTGGATAATAGAATTGTTGTGTTTTCTCTCTCCCTTCCTTCCTTCCTCCCTCCCTTTCTCCCTCCCTCTCTCCCTCCCTCCCTCTTTCTCTCCCTCTCTCTCTTTCTTTCTTTCTTTCCCTTTCTTTCTTTCTTTCCTTCTGATCAGCAATTTCTATATTTTTGCAACAGGTACACAAATACATATGCATAATGAGATTTCTGTGAGATCAGGGACTTTGTTTTGTTCCCTACTAAATCCTTGTGCCCTAGAAAAGACTCTGGCACAGGAAGGTCTCCAATAGGTACATGCTGAATAAATAATAAAGGGAAATTAACTTTTAAAAAAAAATTCCAAATATGACATAACTTAATCTACCTTGAACACAGATATGATTCCTAATACCAGGTTACTATAGTATAAATAAATGGCTTTGGCTGAGGGTGCGTGCTGGGTGAATTCACAAACAGTAATGATGAAAGAAGATGTGGCACATATATACAATGGAATATTACTCAGCCTTAAAAAGAAACGAAATTGAGCTATTTGTAATGAGATGGATAGACCTAGAGTCTGTCATACAGAGCGAAGTAAGTCAGAAAGAAAAAGACAAATACCGTATGCTAACACATATATATGGAATTTAAGAAAAAAAAAATGTCATGAAGAACCTAGGGGTAAGACAGGAATAAAGACGCAGACCTACTGGAGAACGGACTTGAGGATATGGGGAGGGGGAAGGGTTAGCTTTGACAGGGCGAGAGAGAGTCATGGACATATACACACTAACAAACGTAGTAAGGTAGATAGCTAGTGGGAAGCAGCCGCATGGCACAGGGATATTAGCTCGGTGCTTTGTGACAGCCTGGAGGGGTGGGATAGGGAGAGTGGGAGGGAGGGAGACGCAAGAGGGAAGACATATGGGAACATATGTATATGTATAACTGATTCACTTCGTTATAAAGCAGAAACTAACACACCATTGTAAAGCAATTATACCCCAATAAAGATGTTAAAAAAAAAACAGTAATGATGTTGCTTATATATTTGTAGTTGACACTTTGATTGAACACATATTCAATTTATGAAGTAATATGAATAGCATTTAACATTTATCATTTCATCTAACATCTTTAAAACCCCTTACTATGCACAACTGCGAGAGTAGTTATTCTAAAGGATGTCAACTACAATATGACAGGTGAGAGGTACCCAGTAATTCACAAGAGAAAATTAAGGGGGCCAGATGTAATACTTTGGACTCCAGAAATTGATACAGCAGTGAACAGACTGGACCTGATATTGTGACTCAAAGGGGAAAGTATGATGCCTTATCCCTAGCACCCAGCACAATGAAAAGCATATAATGGGGCTCAATAAATGTAACTGTTGAATTTCCAAGACTTGGGGAGACAAGACTTGTGGACGGAATACATGAGGGAAGTGCATACCCTCATCAGAAATAAATAAACAGCGCTATAAGGAGGAAGGAAGCACGGTGCTAGGCGACAAGATAGAGCTGCATGTACATCTCTAAGACTGAGGATGGGAGATTGCTAGGGAGCATTGAGGTGTAGACAGAGCAGGGGGCGTACCAGATATGATGTGTGAGAATATGCTAGAGGCTTCCTTGGCCAGATGGAGTGTACTTATGAGCATTCCTGAAGCAGATCACAGATATCACACCAGAGCAACCATGGGCTGTGACAAGAGGCAGCACAAAAGCATGGGAAGGCTTCAGAGCCAACACCACGTCTGCCTCTTTTTTTGGCTTTGTGAGATTTTTTTAAAACTCTTTGATAGGACTTCCCTGGTGGCACAGTGGTTAAGAATCCGCCTGCCAATGCAGGGGACACGGGTTTGATCCCTGGTCCGGGAAGATCCCACATGCCGCTGAGCAACTAAGCCCATGTGCCACAACTACTGAGCCCACACACCGCAACTACTGAAGCCTGCGTGCCTAGAGCCCGTGGTCCCCAACAAGAGTAGCCACTGCAATGAGAAGCCTATGCGCACCACACTGAAGAGTAGCCCCCGCTCGCTGCAACTAGAGAAAGCCCACACACAGCAGCAAAGACCCAACGCAGCCAATAAATTAATTAATTAAATTTTTAAAAAAAAGAAATACGTGCAGTTAAAACAAAAAATACCTCTTTGAGCCTTGGGGACTTCCCTGGTGGTCCAGTGGTTAAGACTCCATGCTTCCACTGCACGGGGTGCGGGTTTGATCCCTGGTCAGGGAACTAAGATCCCACAAGCCGCGCAGCGCGACTGAAAAAAAAAAAAAAAACTAAAATCAATCAATCAATTAATTAATTAATTAAAAACTCTTTGAGCCTTAGTTTCTTCATCTTTATAAAGAGGCTTATAATACTTACCTCATAGGTTTATTGTCAGGATCAGGGAAAATGTATATAAAATATTAACCCTGGGCGGGGATTTTCCTGGCACACAATAAATGTTGAATAAATAGCAGCTAATATCATTACACTGGTGGAGTGGGGGTGTGGGGGTGATGGCTGAAGTGGATTAGAAACTATGTGCTTGAAGGACCACAAATCCCAGGGCTGTGTGACACCTGCGTTAGCACAATCTACTGAAAGTACAGTTTTTTGATAAGGTCTTGACTTTCCTTCCTCTTTCAATCATAAGAGTCATCTCTCGCAATGAAGAAAGTGCTGCACAGTATGGAATAAGGAAGAGTTGACTGATGCTGTGAAAGTGATGAAAATCTTGAAGGAGAACAATATCATCTTAGGTTTCATGAAAGCCAAGACATGAAAGACTGGGCATGATATGAGATAAAAACTAAAAATCAAAGTTCAAAGGAAATACAGGCATAGCTCCATGTTGTGCTTAAGAAAATCACTGATGCGCTATTAATTTGTAATTACATTATTTGGTGACAGTCTATTACATGCTCTATTAAGCACTGTTTATAAAATATACATTCCTATGAAATCATAAAATTTTGTTGAAACAATTTTTCATTAACTTCTGTATATTCAAATCTTCAAAATACAAAACTATTAAAAACCCTAGAATAGAAAATGGACTTAAATATGGACATTTTTCTCATTGGCCTAAAAAAAATCTTCAAAGGGAAAGAAAACAGAAGTATATATGAAGGAGAAGATGATAAGATGATGAGCTCTCCTTTAGACATATTTAATTTGATGTGGCTGTTAGACACTCTGGTGGAGATGGCCAGTGGACTGTGGAATACGGAGATAAAGATCTGGAGGTCAACTTGTATATAAGTACTGGTTAAAACTAGGAAACAGGGCTTCCCTGAAGGTCCAGTAGTTAAGACTCCGCGCTTCCACTGCAGGGGGCAAGGGTTCGCTCCCTGGTTGGGGAATTAAGATTCCTCATGCCACGCGGTGCGGCCAAAAAAAAAAAAGGTAGTTTGCAAAATGAATTGTTAAAGAATAATGATAATAAAAACTAGGAAACAGGGATTTCCCTGGTGGCGCAGTGGTTAAGAGTCCACACTCCCAATGTAGGGGGCCTGGGTTCAAACCCTGGTCAGGGAACTAGATCCCACATGCATGCCACAACTAAGAGTTCGCATGCCACAACTAAGGAGCCGACGAGCCACAACTAAGGAGCCCTCAAGCCGTAACAAAAGGAGCCCGCCTGCCGCAACTAAGACCCAGTGCAACCAAATAAATATTAAAAAAAACAAAAAACTAGGAAACAGAATGAGATGCCCAGGGTTGGGGGCGGGGGATGCACAATAAGAAGAGTGGGGTGGGTGCTGAGGACAGAAGCCTGGAGAGCACCAGCATTTAAGGGGAAAGCGAAGGAAGGGACCCCAGAAAGAGAAGCAGAAGAAACAAGCATAGAGGTACATGGAGAGACAGGGATGTGAGCAATCCCAGAAGCTAGCATGTGGAGGACAGATCCACAATGTCATTCATACCCCTCACTCAGGGAGGCCACGTGAAACAAGCACAGAAATAGGCCCAGAGGATTTGGTCATTAGAAGGCTTTTTCAAGAAGTACAGTAGCATGATGATAACAAAGCCAAATTGAAGAAGCTTGAGGAAATGAGTGGGAGCTGAGAGAGAGCAGATGTTGCATGAAAACTACTCACATATGGATGTATAATTAAGAAATAAGAGAGGAGAGTAGGGGCGCCAGTTATTAAGCTAGTATCTGTTGGCTTCAAAACTACTCTTCTGTGCACACTTTTGGGTGTTGGAGCTGGAACTCCACTTTGCAGCTGAATCCCAGTTACCTCTGCCAATGGGGACCCTGGAGGGAGACCAGAAGAGGAGAGGAACTTACTCCTCCCCCTGGCTTCTGGTTCCCTGCAGTGTCATGCCAGCTTCATTTCTTCACCCAGCAGGGCAGTTTCCCCACAAAGGAACGATGTATTCGCAACTGAGAAGCCCTGCAGGAGGAATCTGAACTAGCTTGGGTTTTGTTCCCCAAAGGCAGTTGAACCCAGTGTGCAGTCTTTCCAACCTCACAGAACCAGGTCTGAGACCACTGCACCAGCAAGAAGCACCCCTTCTCAGAGGCTTAAGCCTCAGTCCCCCTCCTCCAACCTTCTGATAATTCCAACCTCTCCCCTTGGAAGTTAGCCATGGGGGTAACTGCTGGTTCTTGAAATTGCTACTTTCATATACCCTAGAGCAGTGGTCCCCAACCCCCATGCTGCAGGGTCCACGGCCTTTTAGGAACCAGGCCACACAGCAGGAGGTGAGTGGCAGGCGAGAGGGCGAAGCTTCATCTGCTGCTCCCCATCGCTCCCCATCGCTCACATTACCACCTGAACCATCCCCCACCCCCCACCCCCGTCTGTGGAAAAATTTTCTTCCACAAAACCGGTCCTTAGTGCCAAAAAGGTTGGGGACCACTTCCCTAGAGTTCTCTTTACCCTTTGTTACCTAGTTAACGAGTCTCTCTGTTAAATTCTTTCTGTTAAAATAACTGGTGTGTAGCAAACAACCCAATCAAAAAAATGGGCAGAAGAACGAAATAAACATTTCTCCAAAGAAGACATACAGATGGCCAACAGGCACATGAAAAGATGCTTAACGTCGTTAATTATTGGAGAAATGCCAATCAAAACTACAAGGTATCACCTCACACCAGTCAGAATGGCCACCATCAAAATGTTTACAAGTAATAAATGCTGGAGAGGGTGTGGAGAAAAGGGAACCCTCCTATACTGTTGGTGGGAATGTAAATTGGTACAGCCACTATGGGGAATGGTATGGAAGTTCCTTAAAAAACTAAAAATAGAGTTACCGTATAATCTAGCACTCCCACTCCTGGGCATATATCCAAAAAAGATGAAAACTGATTCGAAAAGATGCATGCACCCCAATGTTCACAGCAGCACTATTTACAGTGGCCAGGACATGGAAACAACCTAAGTGTCCATTGACAGATGATTGGATAAAGAAGATGTGGTATATATACACAATGGAATATCACTCAGCCATAAAAAGAACGAAATAATGCCACTTGCAGCAACATGGATGGACCTAGAGATTATCATACTAAGTGAAGTAAGTCAGACAGAGAAAGACAAATATCATATATCACTTATATGTGGAGTCTTAAAAAATGATACAAATGAACTTATTTGCGAAACAGAAATAGTCTCAAAGACATAGAAAACAAACTTATGGTTACCAAAGGAGAAAGTTGGGGCGGGGCGGGGATAAATTAGGTGTTTGGGATTAACAGATACACACTACTATATATAAAATAGATAAAACAACAAAGACCTACCATATAGAACAGGGACCTATATTCAGTATCTTGTAATAACCTATAATGGAAAAGAATCTGCTGTGCACCTGAAACTAACACAATATTGTAAATCAATTGTACTTCAATTAAAAAAAATAATAGTAGCTGGTGTGTTTTTGTCTGCTGCCTGATACATAGGAAATAATGACTTTTTCTTACATTGATGAAACTAGAGTGTATTAATAGACTATGATAAAGGAGCCCCTAGAGAGAGGGATCAAAGACACAGAAAAGAGGAGAAAACTATGGCCAAAGTCGGAGAGTATACAAAAGAGGCAGGATCAAGGGCAGGAGGGCGCTGGCCTAGAAGAGAAGGGGGGAAAGAGGTCAGGATGGGTATGAAAGAAGACATGTCTGTGGATGGCAGAAGTTGAGGAAAACTGTGCCTAAGGGCCTGTGTTTCTCCAGGAATTAGGAGGAAAGCCCCCCTGCAGAGGTGGGAGGATGAGAGATGAGAAGCAGCATCTTCGGATGTGGAGAGGTCCCTGAGGGGAATGAAGATCATTAACCAAAGACAAGTAAAGGGGCTGATAAGAACACAGGCTAAAGTGGAAAGAACAGGATCCATGACTACTTGATCTTCCCCACTGGGTCCGACCACAGCTGAGCGGGTGCAGCAAAGATACGATGAGGGTCATGAGGGTCCTGTTGGACAGACAACCACTTCAAGACAGAACTGAAGGGAAATGAGACTGTCGTTGACTGAATTACTCAGGTGGTCCATGGAGTCCAGCCTGGGAGGTCAGGAAAAGAGGCCTAAAGGCATTCAACAGACAGAGAAACAAGGGGATCAGGGACTCCATTAGGTGAAAGCAGATAAGGAGGTGAGGTCCATGTCAGCTCTTATAGGACCATGGTGCCAGGCTCTGAGCTAATGACACCTTCCACCCTGGAAAGGGGACCATTTCACCTCTACATAAGTGGTTGATCTCTTCCCCAACAAAACCTCCAGATATTGGGAGAAAAAAAAGGAAATTATGATGTCAGACAAACATTGGTTTTTGTTGTAAGCTTTTTTTTTTTATTTTTATTTTTATTTGGCTGCCCCGGGTCTTAGTTGTGGCACACGGTATCGTCGTTGCCATGTGTGGGATCATTTAGCTGCAGCATGCGGGATCTTTTAGCTGCCGCATGCAGGATCCAGTTCCCTGACCAGGGATCGAACCCGGGTCCCCTGTATTAGAAGCACAGAATCTTAACCACTGGACCACCAGGGAAGTCCCTGTAAGCCTTAAAGAAGCATACACTTTATATTTCGGGTTTCCTTTTTCAGCAGTCCCATCTATTTGCAAAGATTTATATTTCATATCTCTTATTCTTTCTTAGAGTTCTACTAAAGAACTAGGGAAGCCTGACTGACTTTTTAAAAAGTAGAATAGGGCTTCCCTGGTGGTGCAGTGGTTGAGAGTCCGCCTGCCGATGCAGGGCACGCGGGTTCGTGCGCCGGTCCGGGAAGCTCCCACATGCCGCGGAGCGGCTGGGCCCGTGGGCCATGGCCG